CCCCGGAGCGCAGAGCCTCATCGGGACAGATCCCCCCCTTTGCAGAGGGGGTCGGGGTGTGTTGGGGGAAAGGGCCGGGCAGGAAGCCGTGCGAACGGGGAGCTGCTCTTGGGCTGCCTCGTGAGCAAAGAGCAGAGAGCGTTGTTGAGAGGTTTCTGCTTTGCGTTGTACCTGAGGTTTGTGTGTAATTGCTGCGTGTGCGGGGCCAAACGGGGCAGGAAGGGGAAGCGTAGCGCAGTGAGGGTCCGGGGTCAGGGGCCCTGGCAGCCGCACCAGGGACATCGTGTGTGCGTTGTGCCCGGCTCCATGCTAGCTCAGCCCCCTGCAGCACCTTTCTCCTCGGCCCGGGAGCTGATTCCCGTGGTCGCTGCTGGCGCTTCCCTGGGCCCGCTCGCTCTCCCCGCCGCCTGCCCTCGGAGACGTGTGCTGGCAGCAGGCCGGTCCCTCTGCCTGGTCTCGGACTCGCGCTCCTTCTGGCTCTTCGCCCCTGGGTGAAGAACAGCCCTTTTCCTCCCCGGCTTGGGTCCCAATCCCTCTCTCGCAGGTGTGAGAGACCAGAACTGTCCAGTGCCGCCTCGGGGGCTTGAAACTTCCCAATCGGCCCAGGAGAGGCGTCTGCTGGCAGTTCTGGGATTGCGCTGTCCTTCGTCAGGGCCGCGTCACGCTGGTTCCTGGGCTGTCCCGGGACGGGTCAGTGCACCCAGCTCTTCTCTGTCACTTCTGCAGCGGGGCTCTCCTGCAGCTGGGCTGACTGCTCCGGGTCCCCGAGGACCTGGCTCTGTCCCGTCACACGTTCTTCCACTGCGGTGACACCAGCCCGCACGGTCACTCGGCTCCTCTGGAGCGAGATCGTCCCCTCCTCTGCACGATGAGGTCTCCCGAGGGTGCTTCGTTAGCAGGTGTCGATGCCGCATCCCTGCTAACGAAAGCGTTTGAGGTCGACTGATCCCGAGCAAAGCTCTTGGTGGCCCAAACCAGCCGGACGTTTTGCCTTGCAGGAGAGTCTCCTGCACCTCTCTGCCCTGCCCTTCCCCTGGCAGCTCTGCACAGCTCTCGCCCGAGTGCTCCCCGTGGCACGGTGCCAAACTCCAGAGAGGTTCCAGCTACCACGTTTCCGTGATTTTTAGGAAAATTGAGCGCAGCAGCCATCTAGGGAAGCTTAGCAAATTCATCCGGCACAGCCTACCTCTGTCAGCTGTGCCGGGCTTCATCGCAGCCTTGCTTGCCCTCTGGCCGGTCAGCCGTTGTCCCATGCGTGGCGTCATCTCCGCTGCTGGCAGGCCAAAAGGCGCAGCTCGTGGCGGAGGTGATGGGGGCAACGGCAGGGTGGCCCGACCCCTCGCCGTGCGCCGCCAGGCTCGTGCCCCCGGCACGCTGCTCCTCGC